GCGTGTGAAAAACGCTACCCGCGAGGAAAGGTGACACGCGCGCGGAGGGAAGGAGGAAGGCGGGTGACGTTACATCCTTGGCCTTGTTTTCTCCATCCTTACTTATTAATTGGAAGGAGACGTAAATGAAACACTTTGCCGTTCGAAAAGAGGAGTAGACGTAGACTCCGGTGTTGTTGTCTATCTCTCATGGGGAGAGGGGAGTGTCACAGGCTTGATGCTGTTGCGCTGGCTGAAAGCTAGAAATTGCGAATGTGTTAAACAACAAAAGCAATTGTTGAACACACAGAAAACGCACCCAAAAGGAGGGTCTACTGGTAAACTATGTTGTGTTGTGTTCAAAAACTGACACAACATTTTTCGAGGTTGTACTGTGTGAACTAATGCACCCGGCGAGCCAGAGCCCATCTTTTGTCTTCTTCTTGAGGAGAAAATGAGACTCTGCGTAAGTTGCGTACGCGTCAAGCCTATGAAGTCATAGTCTTCTTCGCTTCCGTTATTAGGGGAAGATAAGGAGCGTTGCATGACAACCCTAGAATAGCCTGCAAAGGAGACTATTGAAGTCGCCGCAGACCAAACCTCTGGACTGTGAACATCCGTTAATTACTGACCCCGCTGTACCAAGCGCACAGCTTTTTTTAGGCCTGGGTTCGAAACTGTATCCTAGTAACATGCAACGCATGCGCCAAAGAAAGGCTTCGCTGCCTGGGTAACACTTTTGTTATTCTTTTCCTCTTTGAGTCTCAATGTTTTATTCACTCCTTCCCTAGCCCCCAGGTTTTCTTGGTCCTCTTCCTGAGATGCCGGAACCGCCAGAAATGTCAGATATACCTGATGAACTTAAAAATGAGTGCAAAGTGACATAGCATTAAGTGTCGTATTCTCAGAATGTGACACAAATTCGATACAACCCGCGAGGGTCAATAACTACTGCACGCAGTCTTGAAGCAATGCAATGTGGTGCAATTAAATGGTGGGCCGTCGCTCTAATAGGAAGATTTGACCGGTGCCACTGATGGATATGAACAATTACCAACTATGTATAATATACAAAAAAATGATAACTTTAAGGGATGTAGTGTATGCAGGAGCCGATTAATCGGCTCCTGGTGTATGAGCTACAATAATACCGTATTTATTCGATTAACCGCCCTGGGCGCGTATTAAATTTTTGGACCTTGAGAGTGGGCGCTTATTCGAGGTGGGCGCACATTAAATTTTCATCACTTTCAGCAAGTGAAGTATGTTTATTTTGCGACAAAATAATAAATGCTAATAACAAAACGCGAAGAAGTAACAATGCAAGGTTTCTGTAAAATACTCTGAAGAAAACTCCGTCCTCGGGGAAGTTTCTTATTAGAATTTATTCACTCAAGTGGGTGGGGTGGGGGTAAGCGCTTATTTGAGTTTGATTGGGAGGAGGAGGGGGTGTGCGCTTATTAACTTTTTCTGCCTTTAGGATGGGCGCTTATTCGAGGTGGGCGCTAATTCGAGGTTGGGCGCTTATTCGAATAAATACGGTATGCTCACTGAGCTCTGCAATAATATACAATTATTGGATGAGGTTGAGCATGATATCATGCGAAAACCGAATTCAGTAATTGTTTTATTATACATTTTTTAAACAATAGGCAAAAGAGGACATTCATCTGTTGCAAAATGGCTTTATTTCAAAACTAAGGTGAAAGTGACACTGATAAGCTTAACCAAGATCATTTAAAATTTTTAAAATACAGTAATAAAACCTTTGTCTGAATAAAGTATACATTAAAATAGAAAAATCCTTAACGGAAAATCTTTATAAACATTAATTGAAAGTCTCTGTTTCTGAGGAGAACACTCCAAGAGGCTTGGTAACCAGGCAGACGATGAATAACTGTACTATTTACGTTATAGACGTCGTCTATAACGTAAATAGTACAGTTCAAGTGTTCGATAACACTTAACTAACTTACGAGAGCTGGTTAGTCTAAATTCATAGTGAGTCTGATGTATAATAATAAACAATTATTGGATGAGGTTCTTGTGAGTTCCGGAATAATCAAGGTCGAGGTAATTGTTATCAGTCGAAGCCGAAGGCCGACGCCGATAACACTTACCAAGACCTTGATTATTTAGGATACCACAAAAACCGAATCTAAAAATTGTTTTATTATACATTGTTTTGAAAAAAATAAAAACCAAACACACCGTTGCAAGGAACCTCAATTGATATTGTTATTGGGAATCATGCATTGGGCGTGCGACCTACACATTAGTTAGTTATCTGCTAGCAGATAACTAACTAATCTGTAGGTTGCGCTGATTTCCGAAATTACCTGTAGGCTCTTAACCAATGAGAAAACAGGTAATGAATACAATGTATGATAATATTTTTTGTTGGTGTTTTAGATGAGACGACTAAGACAGTAAACTTCCGCTCAGAAGCCCTGGGCTTATTCATCTTCGTAAGGGGTTTTAGAAGGGCTTATAAACGGAGCGATTTATATCCTAGGGGGCTTATAACCGGGATGAAAGAAAGTGCTTTGAAAAAAGCTATAGCAGTGCTGATTAAAATACGTTTTGCATTTACTGGTTTTTAAGTAATCCTTTAAACCCTAAGATGAAAATTTGAATTCTCATTATTTGCCCCTATTCATTTCCCACAGAAGTAGTAGGGAGAAGTTGATTAACTATCAAGCAGATTCATCTTGTGTGATCATATCCATAATTCTCATGACCACTCTGTTTCACAAAATATTGATATTACACTCAGAAATTTGATGCTGATCACTCTTAAGGCTTAAAAGTTAAAATTCATAATAAATCGAATTCTTTGGCACTCGTTTTCAATACAAGCAAGAGGGGGGCTTATAATTTGGGTGTATGTACGGGAGGTAGACTGAGAAAAAACCTCATGTACAGTCTGTGCGCATGAAACTGTGGGAACCAAAACTCGTTTCTAGATTCCTCCCTGGAAACGAGGTTGGGAGAACAAGACTGGGTGTACGTCACTTGAGAACGCGAAGCAAACTGGGTCGAGCTGACTTACGCAAAGACTTCTGGGATCGTTGCTGGGGACGCGCCGGTGAGCTAATAGGCTGATTTAGCAACAGAACGGGAACGTCAGTCGACGACGGCGCGCGCAAATCAAACAACTGGCTTGACCAATTGGCCATTTCGGAGTTGCGTAAGGAACTGGAGCGAGTTTCAAATTTGAACTAATCGATAAACTGACACCACCATATAAAATGTCATGTTGAGATTGGTTATTTGACCAAGTTTGGTGCTCTAAGGTTGAACAGGGATCGAGTTATGACTCTTGAAACATGGTTAAAGATCCATACAAACGTCTGTAATTTTGTGACAGCGTCCCCCAAAACCATATAAACTCTTAATTTTGACCAAAAGGATCGCAGTCTCTGCGAACGAGATTGGAAGTAAAAAAAACCTAGAAGTGGGGTACATTCGTAGGAATTGATTAAGAAGCAGGATATTGACTGATGAATGTCAGGACTACCAGTTTAACACTCGTGAATATTTTAGCAAGCAACAAGAAATCAATATTTGAAAAGGAATCCGTAAAATCGAGGGCCGTCATTGGTGGTGTCACGAAACAGTCGTTAAAAAAAGAGCCAAGAATTGCCTCTTATCACGATACCATTAGGAAGCGCAGGTTATAAGGCCTCTGCCTTCTCAGGCTGCAGGGGGCATGGACTTTAAAAGTGGGGTGCTGGTGAGAAGCGAGAAGTCATAGTGAGAGTCTAGTGAGGCTGCCTTCTCCACAGGCTTTCCCAAGACTAAGTGGGGATTGTAGAACTCGCGAGCACCCGAGACAAGCGAGAAGCGCGAGAGAGGGTTGATGGGAACGAGTTTTGCCTCCGCTTTCCTTTCTAATTAACTTAAATGTCCCACAGTGATCGCGAGCGACTGGGTACAAGGCAGTTAGTGAGGGATTATGAGGACAAGCGCGATCAGAAATTAGCCCCCGTTCGACATATTAAAATCCTGACATGACTCCGAGGCTTACAATTTTTGTAAGGCTCCATTGTCGCGCAATTGCCTAAAGCGACTTGAGCACGAGGAAAACCAAACCAAATATAGAAAAATGACCAGAAAGCCTCGGAGTCATGTTAGAATTTTAATCTATCGAAGTTCACCCTCGCTTACCCTTGATGTAAAGTATCCCCAAATAAGCGATCGCGAGCGCCTGGGAACGAGGAAAAAGAAGACCAAACGAAAGTGAAGGTTTAGAAGAGGTGCAGACTGTATATAATGAGACAAACATCACAAGGATGGAGGAGATAAAACTTCCTGGAAATTTACGTTAGTAGACAACTCTCGACTTTCACTATATCTTACGCATTCAAGACACAGTCCCTTTTGGAACTAGCCTTTCATTTCTCAACACGAGTCTACTGCTTCGTTCCCTTGGAAGACAGGGGAAGATGAATCAAATGGAACTTGGGAAAGGGCAAAGTGGAGAGAGCTTTGATTTCAACCTGAAAGTCGCCCCATCTTCTCTCCAGTCCTGAGCAAACCTGTGACTGTTTGGGAAACATTCCGTTTTTCAGTATGCAGAATCAAATAAACACTTGATTTTTTAGACCCACTAAGATCCTGGCAAAAAATATTCACAACTTTTCGTTGTTCCGATTGCATCGAGATACTTTGACCCACAGGCTCCTATAAAACTTTTGAGGTGCAGATTACCAAGGGAGTTAAAAAGGGGAGTTGCTCATAAAAAGGTACTGAAGAGTTTCAACCAGAAAACAACACAGTGTTTCCATGAAATTGTCCTTTAATGTTCAACCTTTTACAAACAGAAAATGGGCAATATCTACAGTCAAAATCCGGTTTAAGTCATACTACTGGATAACAATTTTGTCTTGTCTGAAGACCAAACGAAAAAGAAAAATCACACTGAGTGAAAAAAAAAGAAAATTATCCTGAGTTGGTAAAAAAAAGTCTAAGGCCCATCAGGTTGAAGAGGACATGCCACACAAGGACTCGATGTCTCTCTAGGAGTCCTTCAGAGTCAGCTTGTCAAACTGGTATTCACCCAGTCCAGGACCAACACGCTTCAGGTTGGTGACATAATCAGAGAACTGTTTGATGGACTCCACCTGCTCCTCAAGGAAGTTCCCTTCAATGAAGTCCATCATCTGCCCGAAAAATAAGAGAGAGGACCGTTGAAGACAGAAAGATAGAAGACAAATCTTATGTATCCTGGAGGACTCACGCAAAGGGACCCTAATGGATATACGTAGACATGTGGTATGTTACATTGCCATTTTTGAGTCTGCTCATCACAACTTATATCACAGCAGGTACTTAGTCAGGGCTAGAAAAAAAATTATTTAATTCCATCTTGTCCTTTAATCAAGCAGTTCTCACATTTTGTTTGACCAGGGCCACTTGCACATATTAGCTAATGATTTGGTTAGAGGATGACTGGCCTAGACAATTTACCACTGAGCATGCAAGCTTTAAAGTAACTTGCCCAGCACAAAAATCTACTTGTTACGGACTAACAGATGGGATTTTTTCGAGCCCTGTTGATAACATCGCAGGAGCATCAAAGGCACAGCAAGCATTACTAGGCAGCAAAGGAAATCCACAGAAAGCAGCTACAATGACATTAGCATAATGCCTACATGACACAACATCAACAAGGAGAATTACACATGCAGTATTCTTTGAAGATACATTGTCACCGCTTCTACATCTTTCAATACAAGCCTAATTTTTCAAGTCTGTCATTTGTAATCCATGTTTATCTCCTTCATTCTAATAGGCCATTTGCACTAAGAGGTCACGTGACATGGTTTATGAAAGTTTTATGATTTTGCCTTCAAAAAACAATTAGTGGGTAATATCTTAAACAAAATAATAGCGATTTGGTTTTTCAAACCTGCACCATTTTCTTATCAAAGACTCCTAGGAGCGGCTCATGGATGAATTGAATTAGTACATAGAAAAGACAGTTCAATAATCAAAGAAAAACATATAAATCTTTTTGGACGCTTCATTGTGTACAGACTTGCCAAAATACAGCGTGACTTGAAGTATCCGATTGCATGTGCACCTGAATATTCTAGAAACTTGTTATCAGCACAGCATTTCTACTTACAAAGCAAAGGTCACTTTTAAAAGCAATTATTAATGTTTTTTGGTTGTAAAATAATTTGCTTTCTCATGTGACTGTCAAACACTTTCCGAACGACAGTGCACTTTCTTGTGAAATAGCCAAGTTTTACATACACGAGTTTTATTTAAACCGTGGTTTTAAAAGTACCATGCTTTCAAATAAATGTTTCCATATGATGAGTACGTAACGGTTAGTATATGCAGTACGAGCTATATTAAATACAGAATACAGGCGTTTATGGCTAAATTGAACTGCTTTAGAATGCGCTTTTGATAAACACGAGCTAAAAATTATTTTAATAAAACGGATTATTAGCTCAAAGGAGTACGTGCTCTGACCTAGCCAAGTAATTTAAACGCAGTCGAAGCATCCGATTGCCTTTCGCCAGAGACTTGTTTATACCAGCGCAGCATTTCTTGTAGAAATTATATTCATAGCACTGCTAAATGGAATCACCGACAAACAAAAGCCTACTTTAAGGCAAAGACCACCTAAGAATTCAAGCAAAATAGCGTAACGCTTGTTTGTTCTAAAACCTGTGCTTCTAGTTGACACAAAAAATTCATTCCCTGTTTGCATACCAAGACAATTGGTCGAACAGATTCGTCCAAATAACTGAATAAACCTCAATAGATACTCCTCAATGTCGCTTTAACAACTCGAGGACCGTTTTTTTGCAGTGATTATAAGGCTCTTTGGCTTATTCGCTTTTCGCTGAACGAAATCCCATTGTCAGGCTGCAAGAGCTCTTTCACACTCCTGGTGATCGCATCTTCTCCATATCAAGTATAATATCGGGAACAAATGAGCACAATTCGTCCAAATATACAACAATGATCCACGCTCAATTATTTCAATGTCCTTTTAACAATTCTAAGTCCATTTCTTGTGGATGATATTACCAGTGTTCTTTAGAATATTTCCATCTATTCAAAACCCATCTCTATTATTGATGTGTCGGGAAAAAAATTCGCCTTACTAGTACCCTCTAGAATATTCCAAACATATACGTAAAAGGCACTCGGAATAAAAGTAATACTAAGTACGGGAGGTAGGAGTAACGTGTTTAATCTGACTTTAATGAATAAATTAATGAGAATCGAGTGAGTGAGTGAGTGAGTGAGTGAGTGAGTGAGTGAGTGATCGAGTGCCATTCGAGTGCCTCCAAAAGCCCATGGCATGACTATGTCATCCATGAGCTAAAAATGAGTAAGTTCGTAGCTGGTCATGTGACCAAAATGGGATTATTAAAATTATGAATTACCTTTTTCTGAACACAACTTCAAGGAAAATGTGGAAAACATGATGTGGTAACGTTTAAAGCACATCTGAGCGTAACTATCAAACGTTTAACAAGATATAAGCAAGAAGTAGTTTTGGCCGCCATGTTGGAGGGCAAGAGTATGCCCTCCAACATGGCGGCCAATACAAATCATACTACTTTGTTGAAAAATCAAAGTGCCATTAAAGATCTCCCTTAAATGCGTTTTCTCTCAAATTTCGGGTGTAAAGTAATTTTTATGTGCTCTGTCAATATTATTTTTGGCATCAGCAAGACTCCAACTCATTGTTTAAAGGAAGCATTGATCACGTGACCCTTAATGCAAGTGGCCTATTCATCTTTATTTCATTTATGGTTTACCTAACTTTCCTACTATTTTCTGAAGGTATTCTTCCATTCAACACACAATATTTATGGCTAGCCCCCACCCCCACCCCCACAAACCTTCCACCAACTCCAGTGTATTGGCAGAAAAATAAAGCTTGTGGCAAAGATCCAGAAATATGAGAATGTGCAAAAGAAACCCAGCCTCGCAAGTCATGTCACATCCAGTTTATTTAAAGCATTCAACAACACAAGCCCAAGGCAAGTCATTACATGCGTGTTACAATATAGAACGCTAGTCTTTCAGTCATTTTGATACTGATGAAATTTAAGACTTAAATTCACAAACAAGAACTTTTCGGATTGTCTGCGTATAATGCAGTTTCTCACAAACAATTATTTACCCCCAGAATGTTTATTCATAAATAGTCAAAAATAAAGTTTTAGTCAACCTTAAACATTGAAACAGAATTATTTTTAAAAAAATCCAGAAGTTAAATATCTTGGTAAAATGCAAAAATCAATAATCATTGCTAAGATAATCTTGACTAATGTAAAGTGGTTTTGTCAAACATATGTTCTCCGAGTCCAGGCCCAACACGTTTTAGTTCTGTCACAAACTCTGAAAACTGCTTGATGGATTCAACCTGCTCAGTCAAGAGGTCATCAATCATATCTCCCATCTACAATGAAGAAAGGTGGCCAAGATTTCTCTTGTTAATTTTGCTAGAGCACACACTCTCCCCGCAGTTTGAGAACAAAATGACTTCCCAGCAAATGAAAATAACCACTTCATTTAAAAGTGTGTTTTAGAAGGCAATGGAGTTGAGCATAGTACGCAGAGCATTTCCAATGGAGTTATCGCACAAAAGTTAGAGCAGGAACCAAAAAAAAGAACAGATGTAAGGGGGAGGGGAGAAACGTTTCCTTCTTTCCCCTCCCCCCTCTCCCATCATTCCTTTTTTTTTTGCTCTCGTCCCAACTTTCTTGACAAACTCGGACGGCAACACTTGCTATGCAGGCTAGAAGTTACATCAATTTCATTCTTGTAAGAAATAAGAATGAGACAAATAGATGCTGAAAGTTTGAAGGCAGCACTTAGAAATAAGAATGGCAGAAATGCAAATTAAGCTTTAATACAGCACAACGCCATTTGCAATTATTGCATCAGGAAGTTTCTGTAACCACCCCAACCCCCTTCCCCCAATCATGGTGTAGGTGTGTAGTGTCCACATACAATTTGTCTCAATGGCCATCAAACAATTTAATTCCTCACAACATTTTACCACGAGACATACAACCTCACTTGAAGAGCTTTGAGTAGCATAAAACTCACCTGGGGATCACCATGACAATCGGCAGTTTTGTGCAGATCAAGCAAGGCTTGGTTCACATGCTTCTCCAAATCCAAAGCAGCCTGGCACGCTTCCAGTCCACATCCCCAATCCTCCTTGTCTGGCTTCTACAAAAGGTAATACGACACATGAATCACATTTATCATTGATAATCAGAGGACACTTACTACAGTCATAATCCTGTTGTTAAAATTCTCTGCAGGGACAGATAATGATGTCCCGACATATTTCCTGTAAAGCACTGTACTTAGGGGCACCCAACAAGAATATAGTTCAAAACCACTTAAACATAGCATTGTTGGACGTATTTTAGCATTTAAAAGGTAGATATAGGCATATTTTTATCCCCTAAAAATTTTTCATCTGTTCGGATTTCCTAGCTGAAAGTCTAGTGATGCGAAAATTATAGGGATCAAAACTTACCTTTTCGAAAATTTACCTACAATTTTCGTTAAAAATGGGCAATTATACCATTTTTTAGATGTTCGAAAATCCTAGGAGAGGCAGGCAAGCAACAAAGTTTTCAACAAATGTTCCGAAAATTCTATATCTCAAATCGTCTTCCAAGCAGATTTTTTCCGAAAATTGTCGTTGGGTGCACTGTGTACTGCCCCCTGCCCCACAAAGGCTACTTATTGGGTTGTTTTGTCAAGATTTTCTACCACACTCTCCCTCACCTTACTCCTCTTAGCAAAGAAATCGAACTTACAACTAATATCGTAAAGGATGCAATAGCGAATTACCCACAATTTTCACACATGAAAGAGTCACACTATTTTATCGCACAATTTAACATGATGGGGCTTAATATAGCTCCTATTTGTAATGTCACAGCCTAGAGGCGAGTGCGTGTACGTTTCATCTTGTATTCAGAAGGTGTTCGCTGATCCTTCACGCTCCCCACAGAACAAACAGTTCTTACAGTTACCGATAGACACGTCCATTTGTTAAAAATACAAACATTTATGAAAACAGTAACAATGGGCCCACCCAAAAATCTTAGGGCCCAACACGCCGTTCCTACACTTAACTCCTCCTCAAATAGCAGGGAAACACACCGAAAAACCACAAAAGGAACGAACTACAAAAATCGTTTGCCTATGTATTTGTACAATAACAGCGAGAGAAATCCTACCTTCTCTCATGTAATGTTACACCCAGTGGAAAAGCTCTAGCACGTTCCAAAATTCCCGATTGTGTCAAATTTAATTTACGCTTACTTCGATTAATCATAGACTTTGGCTTACGTAATAATACAAAGATCATTTTGATTCTTTTTTCACCCTTACCTTGACATCTTGCAACACAATGCGGCCTCCTCGTTCGTTCTGGTATTTCATCAGCTACAAATTGAGTGATAGTGCGGATTAGTAAAACTACGGGGCCAAACGAAGTAGATGACATTTTGAAAATGATTTAACATCGCGATTAAGTTACCTTGCGAGCGTGTTCACGTTCCTCGTCCGATTGTTTCAGCATGAATTTGTGAAATCCTGGCAGGGCCACATCATCACGATCGAAGTGATAGGCCTAGAGCGAAAAAACACATAAACTTTAGACCACCTGTATCGAAAAATGACGGCGGGAAGAAAGCGAACCTACCATCGACAAGTACACGTAGCTTGCATACAACTCAAGGTTGATCTGCTTGTTAATGCCAGCTTCGCACTCTTCATGATAATTCTGACGGCACAGAGACATTTTTCTTAGTTGAAACGTAGAACTGTAGAAATCGGGGTGAACAAGACGGGTTAAAACTTAAAGTTTGCAAGAAAACTGCCTCGTTCAATCACTGTTGAAGCGAAACAATCCAAAATGGCGCTTTCCAAGAGAATCGAAGGTTTTAATTGCATAGTCACGTGATGCACGTGATTTCTTAATGTCAAGCGTTGATTGGTTCAGCTAGCATTGTGTGATGTCGTCATTGACACGTGACTAGGACAACTATGCTGATTCACAAGATCACGCAATCTTTTCTAAAAATAACGTTGTAGTGGACGTGATGGCATGAAAATAAACAATTACACTGGGTTTTTGTTTAAGAGGGATTAAAAATCGCTGAACCAGTGTTATGATTTTAAAGACTTAGCATGTGTGGCTCATATTTTTCGATTTTTATGCATCGCCATCCCAAATATTATAAAGTTCAACAGGCATTCCTCATAAAAAAGTTGATAGCCTGGTATGGATGACTGTTTGTGTACTGTATTGAGGCCAAAAAGGAATAGCGAAGCATGTTTTAACACCACCCCCCCCCCCCACCCCTCAAAAAAAAGAAAGAAAACAATACGAACATATTATACTGCTTATTATATGATGCTGGTGGTTTCCTTGTGATTATTTGATTTCACAACGTCTATAAGGGAAAGTTCATTTAATATGACAAGGGGTGGGGATGAAGATATTGAAACTCGAAGCTTGAAATTTTAGCAGCCCCCCTCGCTAGCGGTTCAATTTTTTAGGAGCCCCCTCCTTGGTAGTCAAAAAAATTTCAGAGCCACCCCCCCCTCCTCCTTCAATTCCTTTGCTCCCCTGAAAAAAGATCGCTAGACTGTATTAAATATATTTACCGTTATTGTCTTCAATGGTTTATACTCTGACAAACTTGAGATACAGTTGTGATACAATTTTCTAAAGCATTTTTGGGATGAACAAGAGTGTAATAATTACTGAGACTACATTTGTTATATCTGTAAACCACGTGATATAGCTGAGTTGCACAGGTCATTAAATTGTTGATCATCACCATCCGATCTGTATGATGATGTCATGTGTTGGTTTTGAAGTATACAAATTTTCGGAGCCCCCCCTCCTAGCGCAACAATTTTTTCAGAGCCCCCATTCGGGTGTCTAAAAATTTTCGGAGCCCCCCCCTCAATATCTTCATCCCCCCCCTTGTCATATTAAATGAACTTTCCCTAAGTTATTGACAATCTCCCGTTCATAACTTCCCAAAATATCCACAGCAGGGAGCTTACACAATCTGTGTAACCGTTTCTACTTTTTAAGCAAAGTACAAAGCTTTTTTAGAAAAATCCATTTTTCAGCATAAAACAACCGAATCTGACTATTAAAAGTAAAATCAGGTGAAAAAATGGGCAAAAGACGACTTTTAGGTTTTGTGATTAAAACACATCCGCCCCTGAGCCGCCCGTAACCGCCTGTGCGGATCCACGTCCTTTCTACCGCTTGTGACGTCATCAGATTTAATAATCAAGGATAACTTTGTCCGTTAACTTATGCAGAGTGAAGAGATCTTTCAAACCATACCAGAGAGCACAATTCAGTCTAGGACACAGGAGCAAAAGGCAAAAAACCATGTAACAGTGACCCGAAAATTTCCATGAAAATCTTAATCCATTACCCACCTACCTTTTCTTTCCTTTAATCCTAAGATAATAAAAGTTTTCCATTCAAACTCTTCCCACCAAATGAAGTCTACTAAATGCCTAGCAAGAGAATAAAAATGAGTCAAAACAAGCGAAAAAAAAAAGGGAGGAAAGAGAGCGAAAGGTAAAAGTCAAGACTGCTGTGACACTTTTAAACCCAAAAACTCGAAATTTTGCATTCTGCGTGTGCACGAACTTCGCAAGCTAATATTTTGCATCTGGTTTAGAAGGCCGCAAAGTTTACGACCTGTATGCGGCCTGACACGTGGAAATGAGTGAACTAGACAACAAGGCTGACCTGTTACCACTGTTACGTCCAAGGTAAAGTTTCAGCGGGCAACAGGCCCCATACTGTTTGTACTTCCCCCTTCGGTCGAAAAACTATGCCCTCTTCGGGCCTCTTTGCACAGAGGTAGGGGACCCCAGGTAGGTGAGGTAACCCGCTTAGGCGGGGTCACCTGCCTGTCCATATACGGCTCTCATATGGCTACCCCACGTATCACGTAAACGTAAAAAAATTAAAACGAGATATTGTTACCCCAACAAAGCAGGTTACCTCAACTACCTAACAACCTAAGGTCCCCCACCTCAATGTAAACAGTCCCTTAATTGAGTTAAAAATATCTTGTACGGTTCTTGGTAGGTGTATCATGAAACTTTTCCGGACGTCTATTAACGAAAAACAAATCGGCGCGAGTTTAGATTTAAGACTCAAGTACTGGGGGCGAATTTTATCCCGCAAAAATTTCACACTACAGAGTAACCGTTTCGAGAGCACAGTTGGAGCGTGAAAACACGAGAGTTATAAGGGGGGGGGGGAGGTACAGCAGGCGACTGCGCGCGCCATGTGTGGACCTTAAGATACTTGCAGCAATGTTGGGCCTATAATAACAGGGTTCCTACAGGTCATGGAAAACCTGGAAAGTCATGGAATTTAAGAATTTCATTTTCCAGGCCTGGAAAGTCATGGAATTTAACTGTCGGTCCTTAAATTGGCGTTGTTGCGTCCGTTTTGGCAGTGGTGTTGAAACGGATGCGACAACTCCCACCAACTCGCAACAGCATGCAACAGGGTGTGCAAACGGACGCAACACGTAACATTCAGCAATGTTGCCTTCGTTTGCACAGGGCTTTATATTTAAATTGACGGGCCTGGAAAAGAGTTGGTTCTTGCCTTTCGTGCAACCTGCAATCCACACAAGTCAAGGAACAAATAAAAAAGTCAATTATGTCTGTTATGCCTCAGATTGCTTCAGAGACATTTATTGATCAAAAAGTGAACAGGAAAGTTACATTTGATCTGATTTGACTATGACGGATATTAAAAACAATCACAAACTAAACACTTCACCCTTGCTAATCAATGAATAATAGGGCCATTTAAACGAGGAAAATAAGATGCGTCTTAACTAAGACGAGCAAAACTTCGTATAACTGACCTTCGCATCTTACATAAGACGCGAACGCATAGTACGCATGTGTTAATTTTTGGCGGGAAAATTATCGCTTGCCCCGCGCTGGACTGGCAGGCTACTGGCGGGGAAAAACTGTTTACAAATTACAACGCGTTTTCGTTTTCTTGTCTATTCTGCTTTACTTTTTTCTTCGCTCAAATGCAATGAGCTCGCCGTTAAAGGTAAAAAGAAACACTTGGTCCATCGCGGAGGAGAAAGATTTTTTGTTATTATGTAAGGAGAACGCAATAACAGACCTCCTGGACAAATGCGTGACATCTGCTGGTGTAAGTAGACCCTTTTAACTTTAAACTATCACAATTTATATTTACTAATCAAATTGCTATCTTCGTATTATAAACTTACACTTTAAAACTAAGTTTACGCATACAGAAGACTTAGATAAGACATGCTCGTATAAATGGTCCAGTTCACCTCTTATCCAGTATAAGACGCGTCTTATTTTTCCTCGTATAAATGGCCCTATTGTCTTGTGGAAGATAACAATAACAATAATACTACTTTTCGTTTTAAAATAAATTTGTCACAAAAGGAATGAAGTATCATGGGCTAAATTCAAAACTAGAGTATAAAATATTTCATAAGTAGTTAAACAATAACAAAAAGATAAAAATTGTAAAAAAGACGAAAACTTAAGCCTAGTTTTAATATCTCAGGAAAATCCTAGACGATCGGGGATTTTACTAATGCCAGAACGTTCGAGATTTTACCGCTCTGTCAGAAAAATTCTTAAAATTCTGGCACTATTCTAACCTAGAAATTCTCAATGTCCCAAAAACATTCAAGACCTATTCCAGTACAAAATTCTAATTCAAGTAGTCGTTAAGTCTATTCCTTGCTGTTGCCTTTAAGAGTTACTTTATCAAACTGGTATTCACCAAGAGCGTAGTTATCCTTGCTAAGCCGTGTGAGGGTATTAAAGAAGTTTGATAGCTCTTTGATACTTTCAACCTGCCCTTCAAGGAATTCTGATTCCAAAAACCCTTGCAACTGTGAAGAAAAAAACAGTTATGTCACCTTATTGCCTGGTGAAGTAGGACTGAGCTATTTAATACCCGTACCCCCTCCCCCCCGGTTGAGGAATCAAAGAATTCTTCAAGGGTAAGTTATAAAAACTAAGGATCTTCCAGTAGTAGAGTAAAAAAATGTGGAATTCTTTGTGGAGCTTTAATTTACACGAAATCGTTCAGGAGTAGACCTATATTCTTCAGGGGTAAATTCATATTTTATGGAAGTCTTCAGGGTACATACAATTTTATTTAATCTTCAGGGATAAGAAGAAAAGGTTGGTCCTCAACCGGGAGGGAGGGTACGGATATTAAATGCAATAGCCCATTTCAGAATGAGCATTCTCTTATGTCCCTTCCTCAGTAATGTGCTTTCGTATGACAACCCATATATTTCGATGCGTTTAGGCATTCTGTCCACACGCTGAGCGTTTTCATCGAAAACGCATCGATCTGAAAACGCTCTTGAAAATGGATCGAAACGAAAACACATACATATCATGACGGTGTGGACGATAGAGAACGCATCAAGATGAAAAAGATGACCGAAAATATCGCAGGCGCGTGTTTGTAGCATGCGCATAGAGTTCAACTTACGTCACAACGCGCAATTCTATCTTTCTGGAACGTTTTGATGAGGACAGTCGAAAACGCATCAGAACGTTAGTGTGAACGCGAATTGATTGATGCGTTTCTGATGACAAGGAAAATGCATACTTTTGAAAACGCATTGGTGTAGAGAGGGCCTTTTCACAATGCCCATAATATACCTTGTTTACCATAACCATTGCCTCCAATTTCTATTGGGTATTACAGTCTTCCAAGGAGAAACAATGCTTATGCAAAATTTTGAGGGATAAACAAGGTGCATTATGGGCAATGTGATAATGATGAGTTAACTGAATATTGTGCGAAATCAGGAGAAAGCAGAAAAAGGAGAGCTTATTTTTTAGCTCGATATCGCCAAGAGATAATCAAACAATAAACCGTGGGAAACTCACAAATAGATTGCTTAAATTTGGCAAGTTATTGCACGAAAGTCAGAGCGGGAGCAAAAAAAGAAAAGATGTAAAGGCGGAGGGGAGAAGGGTTTCCATATCAAAGGCTGAGCACCTACCTTCGTTTTGAAACAGAGGCCCGGGGGAACTCAAAAATGGCCTATTTGAAACCCTTGCAGCAGGAAGTTTCCGTAACTACACCCCCCCCCCCCCCCCCCCCAATCATGGTGTAGATGTGCGATTAAGCAACCACAAATTAGCCATAGGGACGGGACGTTATTCGAGACCGTTTAAGAAACCTGAAGAAAGAATGTGGAGGACGAATACCATTTTCTAAATATATGCCCTGCTTAACAGGAAAAAAGATGATCGTTATTTGGAAAAAGAATATAGAATAAAAATAAGCAGAATGTCACCTAACAAAATATTCATGTTTCTAATAAACCCCCCTAGCGGAAATGCTAAAATACAAAAATGTACTCGAATGCTTTGAAAAAAGGAAAGGGGAAGACGGCAAAAAGTAAATACTCTAGGACTTAATTAATTAATAACCTTATTAGCCATATTTGGCTAGAAATTTTTGTTGTTAGTAATTTTAGTTATTTGGAAATAGTTGATATACTATTTATTGTATAAGACTCCAAACCAAAAACATGTATGTATGTATGTGTAGTGTCCGCACACAATTTGTCACAATGGCCATCAAACAATTTAATTCCTCAAAACATTTTACCACGAGACATACAACCTCACTTGAAGGGCTTTGAGTAGCATAAAACTCACCTGGGGATCACCATTAGAGTCGGCAATCTTATGCAGATCGAGCAAGGCTTGGTTCACATGCTTCTCCAAATCCAAAGCAGCCTGGCACGCTTCCAGTCCACATCCCCAATCCTCCTTGTCTGGCTTCTACAAAAAGGAAAACGAAACATGAAACACATTCACCACTGATAATCAGAAGACACTAACTACAGTCATAATCCTGTCGTTAAAATTCTCTGCGGGGACAGACAATAGTGTCTGTCCTGTACGGCACTGTACTACCCCCTGCCCCCTGCTCCCTGCTCCCTGTGCCCTGCCCCCCAAACGCTACTTATTGGGTTGTTTTGCCAAGATTTACTACCAAGCTCTTCCTGACTTTCTTCTCCCGCAAAGGACTCGAACTTACAACTCATGACAAAGAGGATGCAAAAGAGAATCACCCAGAATTTTTACACATGAAACAGTCACACAATTTCATCGCAAAAAGATAAAGCTCTTATTTGTACTGTCACAGCCCACTCAGTCTGAGGCGAGTGCGTGTACGTTTCATCTCGCATTCAGAAGGTGTTCGCTGACCCTTCAAGCTCCCCAGAGAACAAACATTTCTAACAGTTACCGATAAACACTGAAAAACCAAAAAAACGAACGATCTACAAAAATTGTCATGAATTTGCACAGTAACAGCGAGAGAAAGGCGAACTCCTCTCATGTAATGTTACACCCAGTTGAAAAGCTATGGCACTTTCCAAAATTGCCGATTGTGTCAAATTCGATTTTTTTCACCCCTACCTTGACATCTTGCAACACAATGCGGCCTCCTCGTTCGTTCTGGTATTTCATCAGCTACAAATTGAGTGATAGTGCGGATTAGTTAAACTACGGGGCCACACGACTTAGATGACATTTTGAAAATGATTTAACATCGCGATTAAGTTACCTTGCGAGCGTGTTCACGTTCCTCGTCCGATTGTTTCAGCATGAATTTGTGAAATCCTGGCAGAGCCACATCATCACGATCGAAGTGATAGGCCTAGAGCGAAAAAACACATAAACTTTAGACCACCTGTATCGAAAAATGACGGCGGGAAGAAAGCGAACCTACCATCGACAAGTACACATAGCTTGCATACAACTCAAGGTTGATCTGCTTGTTAATGCCAGCTTCGCACTCTTCATGATAATTCTGACGGCACAGAGACATTTTTCTTAGTTGAAACGTAGAAATCGGGGTGAAAAATACACTTTAAGACTTAAATTTTGCAAGGAAACTGCCTCGCAATCAATGTTAAAGCGAAACACTCCTAAATGGATTATAAAACAATCAGTATTAAATATACACTGGGTGTTTGTTTAAGAAGGATTAAAAATCGCTGAATCAGTGTTATTATTTTAAAGACTTAGCACGTGTGGCTCATATTTTTCGATTTTTATGCATCACCATCCCAAATATTATAAAGTTCAACAGGTATTCCTTATAGAAAAGCCTGGCATGACGAAGTAAAGAGGAAAAGATGACTCGCACGATATCTGTTTGTGTCATGTATTGAGGCCAAAAAGGAATAGTGCAGCTTGTTTTAACATCAGACCCCCCCCCCCCCCCCCCGCCCCACCCCTAAAAAAAAGAAAGAAAACATTACGAATATACTGTTTATTATATGATGCTGGTGGTTTCCTTGTGATTATTTGATCTGACAACATCTATCTACTTATTTAAAGGGAAGTTACTGTCAATCTCCCGCTCATAACCTCCCAAAATATCCTCAGCTGAGCACGGGGCTTACACAATCTGTGTAACCGTTTCTAATTTCCTTAAGCAAAGTACCAAGCTTTTTTAGAAAAATCCACTTTTCAGCATAAAACAACCGAATCTGACTATTTAATGTAAAATCGAGTGAAAAAATCGGCAAAAGACGGCTATTAGGTTTTTAGATTAACGGGGCATTCGCCCCCGCCCGTAACCGCGTCCTTGCTACCGCTTGTGACGTCATCAGTTTTAATAATCAAGGATAACTTTGTCCGTTAGCTTGTGCAGAGTGAAGAAATCTTTCAAACCATACCAGAATGAGCACAATTCCGTCAAGGACACCGGATAAAACGGCAAAAAACAATGTAACAGTGACCCGAAAATTTCCATGAAAATCTTGTTCCATTACCCAACTAAAATTTTTCCTCCAAACTTTTCCCATTAAAATGAAGCCTACCAAAAGCCCAGCAAGAGAGAAAAATGAGGCAAGAAAAGCGAAAAAAGAGGAGAGGAAGGAGAGAGTGAAAAGTAAAAGTCAAGACTGATGTGTCACTTTTAAACCCAAAAAACTCGAAATTTTGCTTTCTGCGTTTGCCCGAACTTCGCAAGCTAATATTTTGCATCTGGTTTAGGAAACCGTGAAGTTTACGACCTGTATGCGGCCTGACCCATGAAGATGAGTGAACTAGACAAGAAGGCTGACCTGTTACGCCCAACGTAAAGTTTCAGCGGGCAACAGGTCTCATACCGTGGTTTGAACTGTCCCCTTCGGTCGAAAAAATATCCCCTCTTCGGGCCTCTTAGCATGGAGGTGGGGGACCCCAGGTAGGTGAGGTAACCCGCTTAGGTGGGGTCACCCGCCTGTCCATATACGGTTCTCATATAGCTACCCCACGTATCATGCAAACGTAAAAAAATGAAAACGAGATATTTTATGGACAGGTGGGTTACCCCAACAAAGCGGGTAATACCTCACCTACCAAAGGTCCCCCACCTAAACGTAAACAGTGCCTTAATTGAGTTAAAAATATCTTGTACGGTCCCTAGTAGGTGTATCATGAAACTTTTTCGGAAGTTTATTAATGATAAACAAATCGGGTGAGGTTGGATTTAAGACTCAAGTACTGGGGGCAAATTTTATCCCGCAACAATTTTACACTACAGAGTAACCGTTTCGAGAGCACAGTTGGATCGTGAAAACACGAGAGCTAGGGGGAGGAGAAAGGTACAGCCGGCGACTGCGCGCGAAGTGTGTGGACCTTAAGCTGCTTGCAACAATGTTGAGCCTATAATAATACAGGGTTCGTACAGGTCATGGAAAACCTGGAAAGTCATGGAATGGCGGCTGCCATTTTTGAGTACGCATATTTATTTATATATCACGCTGTCTTGAATAAAAACTGATCGCCGTATTTAAGTTGCCCTCCTGAAACGCTCGTGCCTTGAAACTCATGGAAAATTAAAGTTTCGTTTGGTAGTTTAGATATTGCAGATGACAGAGCAAGGACAATTTATGCACCTATCAATGTAATGCCGGCGGGGGGGAGGCAGGACAAGGGGTGGGAATTGACTTTTTGCAAAAATTTGCAATCAAATTCCCTGCCCACGGGCAAATCATTCCAGTCAAATGCAACCAAATTTCCCTACCCCAGGCTGCACATTGCTGTCAATCCCAAGGCAGAATCCAAGAAAAGCACAATAAAAATATTTCCAAATAAAACTCTGCAATCTTTTTTAAACGTTGCTGCATCACCAAAGATACATGTTCCTGTTACAGCTGCAATTATACGTTTTAACCATAATCCGTGTTACACTGCGTAGAATACATAAACCTTTAGAGAAAGTCCACATTTTGTAAGTTTAAATGTACCGTTCTTAGTAAAGGGTACAATGAAAGTCAGTTTTATAAGTTTACAGTGATTGTAGTGAATGAGCCATACACTAATCAATTGTACTTGCAAAAATCGACTTGGTTTCTCTTTACTTCCGTTTACTTTGATACCACAGTATTTTAAGAGGTTCAATTGATAAAAAACACGCTAAAACAAACGAAATTTGAAGACAAAACAGTGAAATCCACTCAGCCTTCGTTTGTTCTCATTGGCCTCCATGACTTCCTGATCTTTTCAAACCGTATGGCGCATGCTTGAAGCGTGGAATCGGGAAACATATGTTCGGTCTCAGTCTTTTTCGTCTGAGGCGGCAGTCAAATATCTTCACGTCGGGCGAAGAAAGATTCAAATATCCCCTCCCCTGGGAGAACAAGATCAGTCAAATGCCCTACCCCAGGGCCAACAAAGACAATCAAATCCCCACCCCATGCCCTGCTCCCCACCCCCCCCACCCCCCCTTCGCCGGCTTTACATTGATAGGTGCATTAAGATAGAGCGGAGTAATGAAAGAGCGCAAACGGCACGCATTTTGGTGGACACCTGAGTTTGTGACTGTTGAACTGTTTAAGGTCAAAAAATACCCCCAAACAACAAAAATTATGAACATTTTTGAAAGTGACAACTAAACCCAAGGTCTTGGAAAACTGAAAAAGGTCATGGAAAAAGTCACGGAATTTGAAGAGCTCAAACGAGTACGAACCCTGAATAATCGGCGTTGTTGCGTCCGTTTTGGCAGTGCTGTTCAAACGGACTGGGATGCGACAACTCCCACCAACTCGCAACAACATGTAACAGGGTGTGCAAACTGGACGCAACATTTAACATTCAACAATGTTGCCTTCGTTTGCACAGGGCTTTATATTTAAATTGACGGGCCTGGAAAAGAGTTGGTTCTTGTCTTTCATGCACCATGCGATCCACACAAGTCAAGGAACAAATAAAAAAGTCCATTATGTCTATTATGCCTCAGATTGCTTCGGGGACATTTATTGATCAAAAAGTGAACAGGAAAGTTACATTTGATCTGATTTGACTATGCTGGATATATAAAAACAATCACAAACTAATCACCTCACCCTTGCTAATCAATAAATATTGTCTTGTGGAAGATAACAATAACAATCATACTAATTTTCGTTTGAAATAAATTTGTCACAAAAGGAATGAAGTATCATGGGCTAAAATCAAAACTAGAGTATAAAATATTTCATAAGTAGTCAAACAATACCAAAAAGATAAAAATTGTCAAAAAGACGAAAACTAAAGCCCAGTTTTAATATCTCAGGAAAATCTTAGACGATCCGGGATTTTACTAATTCCAGAACGTTAGAGATTTTACCGCTTTGTCAGAAAAATTTTTAAAATTCTGCCGCTATTCTAACCTAGAAAATTCTCAATGTCCCAAAAACATTCAAGACCCACTCCAGTACAAAATTCTAATTCAAGTAGTCGTTAAGTCTATTCCTTGCTGTCGCCTTTAAGAGTTACTTTATCAAACTGGTATTCACCAAGAGCGTAGTTATCCTTGCTAAGCCGTGTGAGGGTGTTAACGAAGTTTGATAGCTCTTTGATACTTTCAACCTGCTCTTGAAGGTATTCTGATTCCAAAAAGTCTTGCAACTGTGAAGAAAAAACAGTTATGTCACCTTATCGACTGGTGAAGTAGGATTGCGCTATTTAATACCCGTACTCGTACCCTCAACACCACCCCCTCCTCTCCCCCCCCCCCCCCCCCCCCCCGTT